GGGTCTGCTGCAACGGGAGCAGCGGCTGAGTGGGCTGCTCCCTTCGGCTGGCCCCACGCCTGGCTCCAGCTTGGCCCGGCGGCACGCCAGGCAGGTGGCACAAGAGCCCAGGAGGAGCAGGACACCAAGGGCCAGGGCTGCTCCGATGGCAACACCCAGCAAAGGCAGCTCCACGTGGGTGTCCAACAGACCTGAACAGGCAGCAGGGCCCCCTTAGCATCCCTTCACAGGGCTGCCGTGCCATGCCTACCCCACAAAAACCTACCTGGGGGCAGGATGGAGGTGGTGGTGACTCCCACACTGTTGGCAGCACTGACAGACAGGTTGCCAGCCACACTGCTGAGGTGGACATGGAGCGAGTGGTTAGCCAGCCCTGGGTAGCGTGTCGTGCCCAGGAAGAGGAACTCAGAGGTATTGGCCATCACATGCCCATTCTGGCACACCCAAGCAATGCTGACAGGGGGGTTGGCTCGCACCAGCACAGAGAGCACCAGAAGGAGCCCAGTGCCCTCAGCATCCTGGTAGTGGGCATCTGCTTGCAGGATCTCCGGTTTATCTAGACAACAAGCACAGGCAGTGAGATAGGTGGGAGGGATGGGCAGCAGCTAGCATGGCTGTAGCCCAACCAGGAGCAAGATTTGTCTCACTAGGAGCCTTCAGCGTGGTTACGCAGGACTGATGAGACGCTGCCCTGTGGCAGGTCACAGTTCTGCTGCAGCCGAGCAGCAGCCCTGCCCACCCTCCCCACACCCGTGGCCTGGTGCCGCAGACCTTACACTGCACATCAAGGAGGACGGAGGCGTTGTGGGTCTGCCTGGAGGTCGGGTCCGTCAGAGAGCAGTTGAGCTCGCGGTAGGTGCGCTGGGCAGTGAGGGTGAGGGTGCTGGCAGTGCCTGCGGCCGAGCAGTTCACCTCCTGCTTCCGACCATCGAGGTACCACACCAGTGCAGTGCCAGGGGCCAGCTGAGGGGCCTGGCAGGTGAAGGTACGGCTCTCCTCCTCCCGCAGTGTGCACGCTGCTAGTGCCTGTCCATCGATAGTGGGGCCCGGCTCCCCCGGCCCTGCCAGAGAGCCCCCAGCACATCAGAGCTGCGGTGGGGTCCTGTTGCCAGAGCCATGTGCTGGACCCCGCTGCAGCCTCACCTGCTGAGCAGAGCGCTGGGAGGCCGAGCAGCAGCAGCACGTGGGTGAAAGAAGCACCCGACCAGCCCCCAGGATACCCCATGGTGGCGCTCAGCACTGGGAGAGAGCAACTGGAGCCAGGACAGGGCGCCGGCCCCGCGCTGGGCCCCCGGGAGCCCGGCACGCAGCAGGGCCAGAGGATGCGGCTGGGCT